AATGTTCTTTTGACACCTCGCATTAAAAATTGAATGTTCCAGTCATTAGAAATAGGATCTGCATAACCAGCAGCGCGGTGAATTTGGTTTACGATATTAAGATATTGTGTCACAGTAGCATATTTAAACCTCCGTTCATGAACCATATAAGCTATATATAATTGAATAGTGTCCGAACTACACGGCACCGTTGAAAGACCACGCTTGTGACAAAACTACTCGAAAAGATGAAGTTGCGTGGAGTATGTTAACTTCGTAGATTCAGCCCACGCCTTGTCTTTTAGTTCCTTTACCACATTGCGAAGAACTGGGCCATCTGTAATGGATAAATGATGGAGACATGTGGTTACAAAGTTTCTCATATGAAAAAAGTTCAAACTTCAAAGATGGTACCAGATCATATAAAGTTGATAACTTCCCTTTCTCGTGAAGACGAGAGCAGGCGTCAGCAATTACGTTTCGATGCGTCGGAATAAATATTGCACGAAGATTGAAGTTATGGATTGCGGAGAGCCAAAACATCTGGCGAAGTAAAAACATAATTGTCGAATTGGGGGAAGTGCCTTTATTCACAGAGGCTTTAGCCGTCACATTGTCAGTATATATCAGCACACGCCGGTTTCTCCATAAGCATCCCCAGCGAACCACTGAATAATATATGGCTAACACTTCCTTAACATTGATGTGGCAATCTGACCAGTGTGGTATATCAAGACGCCAGTTAATGTAAAAATAATCACCCTGGTGATAGGCACCTGCACCAGGAGTTGAGGCATCGGTTTGTACTGTCACATATGATTTATCGAACGGGATTAAAGGCATGGTTCCGTTAAATGTGCTCAAAAACTGAAACCACCAATTCAGATCATGAAAGAAATCGTATGACAAAAGGATTTTATGATTTTTCCTTATAAGACCTTTCTTCAAATCCAATATTCTGCGCATAAATGTTCGCCCACCACATATGACCTCGGTAGCCCAGTTTAGTTTGCCACATAATGATTCCAATTGAAGCTTCGTAGCACGTTTTTTAATACAAAATGATTTAAGTAAATCGGTGAACGTAGCCAATTTAGACTGCGGTAAAGATAAAGTGTAATTATTAGTATCAATGAGGATTCCAAGGAAAACTAAAAGCTGTGAAGGACCCTCGACCTTGTTCCAGTTGATACTAAAGCCAAGCCTGCGCAGCAATATTATAAGTTTCTGCAACCCATCAGAGCACATTTGGTAGGTGTCCGCTTTGATGAGAAAATCATCTAGATATGAAATTACACGTATACGATATCTTTGCCACGTGATTCTACAAACGGCACTGCTTAGCCTTTGGAATATTTGGGGACTTTTTGCCGCCCCAAACGGGAGTTTTGTATCAGATAAATAAGTGACTTTGTCGTCACCGGTGAATTACCACTTTAAGTCAGTATACTTATAGTTAGTAGGATGGATGTATACTGATCTATACGCACTTTTCAAATCAACTTTTGCAAGGAACGATCCGCATTTAATATATTTTCTCGCCTCCGAGAGGTCCATATACGTACATGATGTGTCAGTCACAAAACTATTCATATTGTTACCCACAGGTCTACTAGCGTCATGTATCAAGCGGATCTTTCCATTCGGCTTAGGGCTTAGGAATACCTCCCAAAGCACTCACGATAACAGACTTATGGTCTAAAACAATGTAGTTCCCATTGGACATTTCCTCATAAATTTGTTTTTCAACAAGTTCCCGTGAATTATGAACAGAAAAGTAGTTATTACATACAACTGGGGTATCAATAACCGGAGTAATATCAAAAATGTCGAATCCAACAGTGACTCCATCTATGATATAAGCCCTGTCAAGATCATCAGGGGGAAGAAGGGATTCCCAAGCCAAAGGGTCTAAGCACACCTTAGACCTCGGGTAACAAGTTTCTACTTTTTTGACACATGATGAGTGGTAGCATAAGAAGCAAAGCACACGCAACAAATATGCGCGTATTTACATTTGGCATTTTCACAATTATCGTTATTAAACCTGAGGCAAACTTCTTTTCCCTCTGGAGATACAGGACCACGAATCATTCTACGCGAAGCCTGATCAGAATTACTTAGTTTCATGGTTCTGTTAAGATTGTCCAAAGTCTGTTTCGGAAGCAACTGAAAGTTATGAAGGTCTTGTCGAATAGTGCCCCATGGGAAATTCATTCTGGCTTGTAAGTCTCTATATTCCTTGTCATATAAGAGTACACTAGCTCGTATATGACGGTTAAATAGACGAAAAACTCCCATAGAATAGTCTAAATAATCTAAAATTTCGGGGATGTCCAATTCTCCACTCGAAATCATGTCCTTCAAAATGTTCAGGTTGGCATAACCCCACTGTTCTACAGAAAACTTGTCGTGTTTCGTCTTCTTCGTATAATTATAATTATAATTATTCACCACACTCATAAATTGAGGTAAAACTCTGCGGAGCTTCGTGGACGCGTGACTGCTGAGTGTCAACTGTAGCGACAGAAGGGACGTAACTTAGATAGGAGAGTAAAAGAGTAGCATGTTCGTTACGTGTACGATAGTAGTATAAGGCTAGTTCGTTTAAAACTAAATTAATAAATTAATTCCCACTTTGTGACCATGAAATGAGCAACTGGCAGTCTTTATGATGAAGGGTTGAAAGAAAATGTACTCTCCAATTTATATCTTCTGGTAATTTAGGTTTAGAAGATACACTCCTGTTGAAACATTTGCATATTTCACAAACATTAGACAGTATTTTGAAATTTGAGTTCTAATTAGGATAGAAAAATAATTCGAACGGTTTGATAATTTGCAAATTCACAGCTTTAAATAGAGGTATTTTTGGAATTTGTATGCAAAAAAAAAAAAAAAAAAAAAACTAGAGCTGTGAAAAGCACTGAGCGTGGCCCGTGATACTTTGTCTGATAGCTGTAAGACTTTTTTGAACTTCAAACCCTCTCAAGCACGGTGTTGACTCGACCACTTTTAGTAAAGAGCCAAGCTAAATGAAATGTTTTGTGAAAGGGTAATTTCAATCTTGTATCAATATAACTTATCGTATGGTTATTTTAATAGCTTCATGGTAGCTATAATATTCAGGTATGTGTGAAATGTGAACATTATGTGACGGAATTTCTTTACTGATATAAACATGATCTAGAAGTGTCCCACTTTCAGTAGTGTAATGCTGAACAAGTTGTTGAAAACCAAATTTTTGAAAACAATTCAGTATAGACAAATGACCCTCCAAGATATTTTGGTTGAAATCCCCCATAATAACATAGTCTGAACCAGATTCTTGTAATTCAACTAATAATCTTTCTAACATTGGGAGAAATAAATCTAATCGATAAACGGGTGGTCTATAGATAACAATTACGTTAATATTTTTATCCAAAATATTCAAAGCAATGTGTTCTATATTTAAAACTCCCAATTTTAAAATGTTGATATTTTTGTTTTGCTTATA